GTGGGGGAGATTGTGTGGGGAGTTGAAGTCCACACATCTGAAAGTTGCCAAGGTTGGAAAACACTGCTCTCATGGATTTCATTTCTCGGTTTTATGGTGATGTGTGCTTTATTTTATTTCTGCAGGTCTCCAAGAATCCATCAGGTTGGGACAAGCTACAAGCACTGTAAAATAAACTGTTGAGATAGGCAGGTTCCTGGTGTCCCTCCAGTTTGATATGCTGGAAGGTGGACACGTATGCCTGTAATGCCAGCTGTAACTTTTCTCCCCGAGTGACTCTCGCCTCATCACTTTAGGCAGAGCAGGAAGTAAGAGAAAAAAGTGTATACAATAACCTGAACGGGAAAAGGGGTGCAGCGGAGATGGCTGGCTGGGGAATTCTGGGAGTTGAAGTCCACACATCTGAAAGTTGCCGAGGTGGAAAAACATTGGGATAGAGCCAAGTCTATACATCTAAATTCGCGATAAATCAAAGCCCATTGGAATACCTTTGCTTCAACAAAGAACAATGCATTTATGCATTCCTTGCACAGAGAGATGGATATTTTATTTTTTTATTTCTTTTTCCAGTATTTATATTCCATCCCCAACGGACTCTGGACAGATAACAATCGAATAAAACATACAATACAAAACGATATCAACACAATAGAGCCCACGTAAACCAGGGGCCAAAAAAAGAACTAAGGGCTGAAGGGGCGGTCCAACAGAATGGGTTTCATAGGTTTGCAAACAGCAAGCAGGGTTTGGGACCGCTCTGAATGGAAGCCAGGTTGGGGGGGGCAGCCTTTGGAGGTATTTGCAGGATGAAGACAAAATCAAGCCAGCATCAAATCAAAGCCTGCCGTAGAACGTAACTAGTTGCTCCAAAGCAAGTGAAGGATGCAAGGAACCGGCAAAGGGACATTTGCAGAGCAGGTGGGGGGAGCCAAGGGGGGAGTCAAGGGATCTTGTCATTCAGCTCATCCTTCCAGCTACTTTCTACTAACTCCAGGTTGAGTAAAGCCTAAGAACAATGAGTTTTTAATGACCGGGAAGCTTTAGAACTAAGTAAAAAAAAAAAAAAAGGAGTCCATATATGGCTGAGACCCCAAAGGAATCCATCGCAGTGGGCTGATAATATTTGGGAAGGATAACATTGCCTGCAGGGGGTACAAGGAAGAAACCCTAGTTTAAAGATGGCTGCTATTACGGTAGCACGGCTTCTCTTTATTTCTTAAACAGAAGTCCTCCGAACCTAATCGAACACAGGTGCTTTGATGTTTTTCTGGTGTGGGTAGCATGACGGCTATTATATACTCCATCATTCAATTCCCCAAGTTATTTTCATTTAATTATCCTATAAACATGCCCAACCCGACTCTAAGGATTGTAATAAATTAGGTTTTCCCCCCTTCATTAATATGCTCATTGTACTGTTGTACTTTCCATTTTGCTGGTCTTTGTTCTTTAAATCAGCATACAGCAGGAAAGAGGGAAAGGTGGCCCAGCTTGTTCCAAATCGGTTTGAGGTGTCTCTAGGATCAGGGCTACCCTGGGGTGAAACAGAAAGCTTTTGGGGGACAGATTCAGAGCCCAAATCCTTCAGCTGCTGATTGCTAAATGACAGTCATTCTAGGACATGATCTGTGAAGCAGCCAGGGCCACACTTCAAATACATAAATCACTGTTACTGCAGCTGAGTGAGCAGCTGTGCTCTGAAAGATTTACTGGAACTGATCTAGCGAGAAGCTGAAAGCACAGAAGTCACTCTAAGACTGAGTACCGTCCTGGATCGCCACAATGCTTCATCCTTGGTGTTTATTCTCCTCCTCTCACATCCAGTAAATCCACCAGCCTAGGCCAGCCTTCCTTCATTCAGGTGGTTTCCACAAGTGTTGGACCACACCTCCCATCACATCCAGCATGGCCACTGTGGAAGGTGTCAAGCCAGGGGAAAGTTGGGTTAAATGAGTGTTATTCAAACTTGGCAACTTTAAGAGGTGTGGACTTCAACTCCCAGAGCTGGCTGGGGAATTCTGGGAGTTGAAGTCCACACGAGTTGCCAACTCATTGAAAAACACTGGGTTAAATGGAAGGCTGGTGTTGACTTGGGATGGGAGCGAGAAGAAGGCCTTACTGATGTAGCAAGCACAAATCTGGTTCTTACCTTCCACTGAAATATCCTGGATGGCAAACCGGAGAATGATGGTCCAAATCATACCCAAGGTCATCTTGGCATTGCCATCGACAATTTCTGGAAACAGATAGGAAGAGAATGAGCAAGAGGGCTCTGCAGGGGCATATACACACTGCTGAAACATTTTCATCAAGGTCCTCTTCCTTACTCTCTATACCAGTGTTTCTCAACCATGGCAGCTTGCAAATGTGTGGACTTCAAGTTGCCACGGTTGAGAAACACTGCTCTATACATTTCTCCTGGAGTGCCCACACCCCAGCTGCATTCATGCGGAAGTCCCCTGCTCAAAAGAAATGGGACATGCCCAAGGTCAGAGGAACTGTTGCTGCTCCTGTTGCTATCAGTTGGCAACTCCAGGATGATCGTGCCAGGCAGGTGCAACTCTTTTTCAGTGGCTGTGAAAGGATCCTGTGTAAAGGCTGAATGCTCACAATTGTCCCTGTGCAGGTTTATTGTTCCATAAAAGTCTGGGCGTAGGTGGCATGGTGCCAATGCTTCCCTCAAGCACATCCTCCAACACACGAAGGAAACAGCCTCAACCAAATTAAAAGGCTATTTTAAAAAATGTGGATGAAGGTATTGTTTTGAACTGCATGCCGTTCTCTAAAGCAAAGTTTTCTCTGCGTGACTTACAACCATCATAAAAGACATGCAGAAATTCTCAATTTACCAGCTATCATTTCAATGGACTTTGGACACAGCCTGTTGTATCTGCGACAGTCTGGATGGTTTACCTGATTCCTGTTAATTTCCATCATTTGCAAAATGGATGCCAATGATATAATTGACCAAATGTTGTATTTGTACCGTTATGTCACAAAAAACACATTTCTACCTAAGGAAGCTGCTGGGGAGAAGATGTTTGCCAAACTCCAGGAGTAGCTAATGTGGGATTTCACGAGCGCCCTGGAATAGCCCAAACGTTTGCCAAGATGGACAAACGCCTGAAAATGGGAAGGATGAAAATCAAGATTCCAAAGTAAGTGCTGGGAAGAAATGAAAAAGGGCAGGAATCGGGAAGGGAAGGCACACGAGGGCGCGGAAGCTTCACTTCGGCCACACCTGAAACATTAACAGGGCACTTGCTGGAACATGCTTTGGGTTTTATGGCAGTTCCCTTCTCCAGATTACATCCCCAAAGCAAGAAAGTCAAGGCTGGACTCTCAGGGCAGCCCTAATGGGTGGGAGTCCATTCATCTGGCCTAGCACCGGTGGGACAAACAGCAGTGAAACAAGGACTCATGATAAAGGAAGAGGCCTGCAGCTGTATCTTCCTTAGATAAGGCATCCACTGTTGATACACAAGATCAACCATCCAGATGCCTCTGAACAGCTTAAGAGCAGAATACAGGGGGCTTGCCACTGTCCCTTAGCACTCTCCCTACCCTAGGGAGAGGTCCCCATTTAGTTATGCTACCTGTTGAGAAGTTCACAATATCTCATAAAGTCACAAAAGAAAATGGCATTTCGTATCCAGCCAATGATCTTTGTAAGCCCCAGCAGTGAAAGCTAGCTCATTTTGTTCATATTATGTCAAGTTTCTTAACAGCTGACTGGAGCAAAACCTTTAGGGAATCTGTTAGCCCTTCGGAAACACCACCTTGAGTACTAAATCTATCTTTATTGTAAGGTTATATTAACAGAATCTTGCAAGACTGAAAGTATTTCTCTTCTCCTTTCTTTTTACTCCCAAGAAAACTAGGGAGGGTCCTTCTGAAAGGCTTCCCACGCCCTCCATCCTTCTGTGGGCTGAGATATCTTGACACATCGGTTGTCCAGTCTGTGGCTCTCCCTCCTGTCTCGCAAGGTTATTCCCACGGACCATCACAGAATCTCTGCATCACGAACTAAGTTGATAAGTGACCTGGCACAAGGAAGTGTTAATTTTGCTTTTAAAGAAAGAAAGAACAAGTTTTGTTCTGTGGACATCTAAAACTTGCTGTACCCCAAGGACTGAGGGCCGGTAACCACATTTCTGCTTCTGTGGATGAATTGCGAATTATGTGAGTATGACTTGATGCCAAAGCCGACTTCATATTTAAAAACAAATCTGATACAGAATTTAATTCAATGTGGATACCACTTCTGGTCTATAATTTTATGAACAGGTCCAAACCACATCCAAAGTTTGGGTGTTTCCTAAGGTAAGACTACAATATTTAATCTTGTTTGTGATCTATTACATTTGCCAAGTTTCTTAAGATTAGACACTAAATTCTTGTTAATTTTTTATTTGGGTTTATAACTTATAATTTGATCCATACTGGTGATAGTGGTTAATGATTGCATAATAACCCAATATTAATATGGACTTAAAACTTTACCTGGATATGATATACTCTCATAAGCAGATTTATATCAGTGTCATTTTGGGAAATATTTTTTCTGAATTTTATGGTGCTGGTAAATCTCCTTTCTAAGTCCTTTTCGTTCTTGTTACTTTTTCCTAGTTTTTCCGTTATAACCTGCAAATCTAATCAGCAAAAACACAGTATTTCTGCTCTTAGTAACCCGTTAAAGATGATTTTTATTCCCCCCTCGAATCAAGTGGGGAAACTGAGGCTGGGAACAGGGACCTGCAGAACAATATCTGTCCTTTATTCAAGCAGGATGGGGGGGAAAAAACCCACTCTTAATCTTCAGCACACCCCAAGCAGGAGCAAAGGGAGCGAAGAATGTCTTTCCGAAGAAGGCCTGCTGTGTTTGGGGCAGAGGACGGGAGAGACCGGGGCCCCAGCAAAGAAGCTGTCTGCAAAGAGCTACGGAAAGAAGGAAACCACAGTTTGCCCTGGAAATGGATCAGAAGAGAAGGAAAAACAAGGACAGGACAGAGCAGGGAAGACAAGCAGCAAAGGCCAGGAACTGCAGAAGGAAAAAAAAAAAACACTGAAATTGAAATACGGATTTGAAGTAACCAGCCAAGTATTTTTTGGCCTCTGCCCAGCAGCTCACTGTATTTTCCTCATCCGAAGTACAGATGTGAAGTTCTATGGGGGGGGGAACCAGTCAGCACCCTCCACCCTGTACAAGCGACATCCACACAGCGGGTGGACACAGAGCAGGGAAGTGATCCAGACCTAAGGAACCGAGAAAAACCAGTGGCTGGAATTCAGGGCTGGAGGGGGGAGGTTGCTTGTTTTCAAGCATGCAGTGCGTTCGCTGCCAGCATGTGAAAACTGGCAGAGAGCAAAGGAGTGTCAGGCACAGGAGCCTGAAACAAAAGGCAAGTATGTGGAGTTGCATCAGAGGAGACGAGGGGCTTGGAAAAGCCAGCAGCCTTCTCTCGGCGGGCACATGAACTCTGCAAAGGAGTGAATTCTGCCCCAAACGAGCTACCAGCTGGCTTCTTCGACAGGGCTGTTGGGGCGTCCCTTTTCCAACTGTCCAAATGGCTTTTCATAATGCTTGACTTGCATGTCTGCAGACGTGGGGAACAGGGGCAGTAGATGGGGCCGGTGGTTTTCCCCAGAGATCTGGTTCAAGGCCACTCAGAGCTACCTGTGTTTGCCAGGCAGTTCACGGATGGTTTGCACCAATGTTTCTCAACCTGGGCAAGTCCCAGATGGATGGACTCTTTAAGTTCTTGAATTCTCAGTAGGGGCTATGCTGCTGAGGGAATTCTGGGAGTTGACCTCCACACATCTGGAAGTCACCAAGGTTGAGAAACGCTGGTTTACACCACCCTTCCCAAACCTGACATTGTCTAGATTTATTGGGACAACAATTCCCAGAATTCTCAGCTGAAGGAGCTGCTGTCCCATATATCTGGGGGTCATCAGGCGGCTGGAAGTGACTTTATACTATGCCTACTTGATTTACGGTTGCAGATGCTACATATTGGGCGATACGGATGTGCAAAAACATCCTTGCCCTCCCTGAACAGCTGTTTTTGAGTTGCCTGTGTCCAAATCAAAACATGTGTATTGGCCTGGATACGGAATGAAACAGGAGTCTGGGGGGAGAGATGGGGGAAAAGCCACGTTCAGGGGTTTCCTTCAACAACCCCAGCGCTATCTTTTTCTGAAAGAGGGAAGGGAGGGAACAGGGAGGCCCATGGGGAGGGGGTCAAAAGAGTCAAGATGGCAGCCACAACCATGTGATCCAGGCCCTGCTCTTTTCTATGTGCATCTTGACTTTTTTGACCCCCTCCCTGCCAACACCCCCGAGAGGGAATAATACACACCAGCCTTGCCCTACGCACCCCAAACAATCATTCTGGGATCCCCAAGGGTTTGTTTTGGCTGAAATCTGAAACAAAAAATGTCCCATGTTTGTTTCTGGTGATTCACACTTGATCAAGAATGGTAAGGAAGAACTTCCATAACATGATATGTTTGCCTAGGCTGGTGTTTCTCAACCTTGACAACTTGAAGATGTGTGGACTTCAACTCCCAGAATTCCC